CACCTTTAATCCTAGCTAGTCAGGAGGGTAAGATCTGAGGATCGTGGTTCAAAGCTAGCCCAGGTAAGAAAGTCCATGAAACTCTTATCTTTTTTTTTGGGGGGGGGTCCAGTTGTGGGGCTTGAACTCTGAACCTGGGCACTATACCTGAGTGGTAGAGTGCTAGCCTTGAGCTGAAGAGCTCAGAGACAACACCCAGGCACAGAGTTCAAGACCCACAACCAACAACAACCAAAAAAAAAAAAAAGAAAAATTTATTTTTTTCCCAATAACTGACTAGATGTGAATTTATATTTTCAGGAGCTAAGCTCAGGGAACCAAGTTTTAGAAGAGTCTGGAAATTCTGCAGGTAGCTAGAGTCCTTCAGACCACACCAGACCTTGAATGCTAAGAATCTAGGACCAGGGAGCTGACATTATGTGCTATTATGTGACTCAGCTGCCTTTGAAAACCTCTTCTACATAAATCCCTACACTATACCACATTCAAAGGAACAGAATAGAGTGCTGCCAAGATAAGTTACTGGAAAGGGAATTGGAATTTATGCCCAACATTTATTATCCTCACTTCTTTGGGGCTATAAAACTTAAAAGGGAAGAATGACCAAGTGGCATTTTTTAAAGATAATGAGGCCATTTAAAGTCTTCCACTCTTTCTTCCTTCCAACCTGCGATTCAATTGAGATTTATTGAATGCTTCTGTAAGATGCAAAGTTAAAACTCCTTTGAAGGAAAAAAGAAGGTGAACCCAGCCAGGTTCAGATCTGCTGCCAGAAATGTATTCTAAATAGCTCTGTATAAATGACTGTGTCTGGCTAGGCATGGTGGTACGTGTATGGCATTCTAACATTTGGGAGACTGAGGCAAGAAGGACCATGAGTTTGAGGTTGGCCTGGCTACACAGCAAGATCTTATCAGACACACAAAAAATGACCATGACAACAACAACAAACGCGTGACAATGTGATAGAGTGCTTGCCTAGAACATGCAAGGCCCTGGGTTTGACCCACAACTGAAAGAGAGAGAGACTACCGAGCTTGCCACTGCATCTCTTGCACAACAGCATGATGTAGGTAAGGTACTCATAAATTGTTTACTCAGTAACCAGGTACATAGATGCTAGCAGTTATTCTATTTTTTTATAAACATATTTTTATTGTGAAAATACTGTACAGAGGGGTTACAATTACATGGGCAAGATAATGGGTACATTTCTTTTCTTTTTTGGGGGGGGGTCTGGTATTGGGACCTGAACTCTGGGCCTGGGCGCTGTCCCTCAGCTCTTCAGCTCAAGGCTAGCGCTCTACCACTTGAGCCACAGCGCCACTTCCAGCTTTTTTCTTTTTGCTTATGTGGTGCTGAGGAATCAAACCCAGGGCCTCGAGCATGCAAGGCAAGCACTCTATCACTGAGCCAACTTCCCAGCCCCAATGAGTACATTTCTTATCAAGCATTGTAGCCTCCTCCTTTGTTTCCCCTTCCCATCCCTTCCCGTCCTCCCCCTGTACCCCCCTCACCAAAGTTGTAAAGTTTGTTTTTCGACATAATGACTTGTACATCTCATTGTTGCAATGGGTCCTCCTGTATCCCTGTTTTAAGGATTTGTTTTTTCCCTTCCCCTCCACAAACTATACCAACATCATATACAGTGAAAACAGGGGTTATACCATGGGGGAGGGAGGTTATTCTATTTTATAAGAAGGTACATGTGACCTGTGGGGCCTTGGTGGTTTGTTTTTTGTTTTGTTTTGTTGTCTTTTTGGTCGTGGGGCTTGACCTCTGGGTCTGAACTCTGTCCCTCCGCTCTTCAGCTCAAGGCTAGTGCTCTACCATGTGAGCCACTTTGCCACTTCTGGTTTTCTAGTGCTTTATTGGAGATAAGAGTTTCATGGAGTTTCCTGCCCGAGCTGGCTTTGAACCATAATCCTCAGATCTCAGCCTCCGGAGTAGCTAGGATTACAGGCTTGAGCCACTGGTGCCCGGCTTGTAGGGCCTCTGTTTCTAAGGGACAAAAAGTCACCCTTTCCATCTTTTCCATCTGCAGTGTTGATATCCTGCAACAATCCACATGTTCCCATATCCATTGGCAGCACTAGTTTTGGCAGATATGGAGTCAAACCTAAGTGTCTATCAATAGATAAATGGGTAAAGAAAATAGGGTTATATAACATACACATGGAATACTATTCAGCCTTTAAAAAGGATAGAATCTAGCCGGGCGCTAGTGGCTCACGCCTGTAATCCTAGCTACTCAGGAGGCTGAGATCTGAGGATTGCGGTTCAAAGCCAGCCCGGGCAGGAGAGACCATGAGATTCCTATCTCCAATAAACCACCAGAAAACCAGAAGTGGCGCTGTAGCTCAAGTGGTAGAGCGCTCGCTCGCCTTGAGCTGAAGAGCTGAGGGACA